AGGTGATCAGCAGACCAGATGGAAAAAACAACTGCAGAGAAAAGAAATTTTCCAATCAGAAATCAGTTACGAGATAATAGGTTAATCACTAGAAACTAGTTTCCAGTTCTCTTGGCAAGCACAATAAGATGAGAGGAAAAACATGGGGATGGGATACACATCCTCTCAATGATGTATTTGGCCTAAAGGTCTAACACTGCATCCTTGAAACGTTGAAGATAGACAAGGATGGAGGGAGTAACAGAGCATCAAATGACTTTTGTTGATGAAAATGCTGGATATTTTAACACATTTTCAACATTTCTTTGAAAATCATCTAGACAGGTTGCTATAGTTAACATTTACCAAGCACAAATATTCTGAACTTTCCCTCCTCCACAACTGACAAATGTTCCTGTTATTATCACAACAGTACTTATTACTATATTTCCCCATGCTGATGAATTTATTATTAAAATCATGTTTTTAGTTTTTCTGCCAAGAAAAACCCTGTCCATTAAAAGATGACAACAATGGTTTCCTTGATCTGAATGGATCCAGATAGTATATCCAACAATTGAAGCTGTTAGTCACTGGGCAGGGGCACCACACCTGAAAAAATACAAGTATACTGATTAAAGGTGCAAAAATAAAAATTCTTAAATGACAATTTTGTAAAATTTTTTCTGAAAAATGTTTACATTATGTATGTCACTTTTCTTTGAATATCGATATTTCTTGATTACCCAATTTTGTAAATGTAGGAAAATATAAGAAAAAAATACAAAATATAGGGGAATAATGGGTATTTCTGTGAAATATAGGAGTACTTAACATCCTGCAGGAGAAAATAAAAGTGGAAATGAAAAGAGGAGCAAAGAGAAGGGAGATGGAGAGAGAAAATATAAAAAAACCTAATCCATCAGCAGTAAACCAAGACCAACAGATGACAAAGAGAGAGAGATGGGTACCCACTGACTCAACAGGATAGTCACTGACAAGTAGAGTGATGAACCAGCCATCGGGAAGCAGGAAAACAAGGAAAAAAGGTGGAATGAAAGCCAGATTGGGAAGGGTATGGGTAGATTGAACTGGCCAAGGAACAGAAGTTGAAGGGCAAGGTTGAGAAAGACAATAAACATGGAAAAATAATGAGGACTGAGATTGTGCCACTTTAGCCCAGGTCTCCAGTGAAACATGAAAACCACTGAAGACTTTAGAGCAAAGAAAAGGAGCCCATTGAAGACATGTACACAAAATGGTGTACATTGACCCTTTTGCAACAAGCATCCTTTACTACACATTACAAGTTTTTTAGGAACTTACATTCAAACTTTTATTAAACTACTTTTTGTTTATGTTATACCAATTAGTATAGCATAAAATCATAGCTAATAATCCATATTTTAATAGTATGCAAGTTTTAAGTTCTTGACTTTATTAGGCAATATTTTAAAAAATCCTGAATTTCTCCTGGTGTGAGAAATGTGACATTTTTTCTCTAGGCATCCCCTCTTCTGTAATTTATTCATCACCCCTCCAATAGGTATGAAATTTAACGTAAATTACTCACTGTCAAATCACCGATAGATGAAAACCTTGGCTTTCTATTGGTTATAAATAGTATAATATTAAATATAAGATAGAATTATTGACAAATCCTGAAAGAGAGGATGAGACAGGTGTGGTAAGAAGGGTCGGATTTTCTGTTTGATGGCTCTATAACCAAACAAGATTGAAGGCTATAAAAAATTATGTTTTATCTGAGTGATGGTCCTCAACTTTCCAAAATCTTTCTGGATTTACTTTTTCATAAATAAAGTACTTACCTGGACCTTCTTTTTTTTTTGCTGTTGACTGTTGATGACACTTAACCCTACTTTTTTGTACTAATGGTAATAGTGCACTAACTAATTTTTATTTAATTAAATAATGCACCAATGAACATAGAATAACAAAAAGTAGACAATGTCCCATAACTATCACAATTTTTTTGGCTTTCTAACTATGGGACAATAGCCATTTACAAATTCATCCACGCTAGTCGATATCTTTCCCATGGGAACGAAGCTTGTACTAAAAGAGAAATTGGCAATTCTCTGTTCAGGAAACAATGTAATATAATTCAACTTTTTTCCTAGATTGGTAAGGTGTTACACAAAGTAAAACAGGTTAAAATCATCATCCAAATGGCCACTCACAACTGAGGAGAAAGAATGTCAGTTGAAGGTATGGAAGAAGGAGGCCTAGTAAGCATGAGGTAATCCACAATGTGTTGATAAAAGACTATAATATCTTCAACAGTTAAAGAGCCTCCAGAAGCCATTGTAGAAAAAGGGCTTGTGTATAACTTTGTCACGTTCACAGGAAAAATAGAGGTCAGCATCCTTTGAGATTTTACAAAAAGAATTAAGCCAAAGAAAATGAAAACCAAAATTTCATTAACAAATGCAAATCTCATCAAAATGTACTTAGATGAAAATTTTTGAATAGGTCTGTTCAATGCAATGCTGAGGAAAAGAATGAATTTATCACAAGTGCATATAGGGAGTTAATGCATATGGAGGTTATGTCACCTCCTATTGGTGGAAGCCTATTGTTGCACAGTTCATATTCAGCATGTGAATTTAGGTGGGGGTTAGCTCAAGACTTAGTGGCTTGCAAACCCCTTAGTCAGATGCACAAAGGAAATAGCATTTCTGTGTATGGAGGTGAGTTATTATCTCAGAAGTATGGATAAACAAATAAAATACCAATTGAACTTATATGTGCAAAACTTTTTTTGTTGTTGACTCATTTATTTTTCAGGCTTTTATTTTAATTTCCTCTTCCTACACTAGTTTTCCAGATATTTCTCCTAAATCAATTAGTAAAAGGTTTGGCTTTAAGTAACCAAACCTTTTCAGTTTTTTGCATTTTTAGAAATAATTTTATCTTGAAATTTCACAGTCTAAGGTACAGAACAAGTAATGTTTAACTAGGAAAACAGTATAATTAATTTAAGTGCTTCATCAATTATGTTTTAAGAAAAACGTTGTGTTAAATAAACCATATCAGTGAATACAACTAGTCTTAGCCAGTGTAAACCTACTTCAAATCTTGCTAATGTAGTACATTTTTTTCTAATATTCACAGAAAGATATCTGTATTGTTTATTTGAGTTAGTATTACAGTTTCTAACCTTACTCATCTGTGAACGTAGTTTAAGTTTGTTCTTGACTGTTTGTAACTTGTTTTAAAAATTTGTTTTTGACTGCTAGTTTTACTTATTTTGCATTTATCACCTGTTTAACCATTGGACTAACCAGGTGGACAAAGAAATCTAAAACATAACACACAGACAACAAGGAATGATTTCATCCTGCAAGGCTTCCTACCCATTATTTTACAGAATTAAATAAGAGATGCTAAGAAACTAACCCATCACATCCACCATTACTGAATTACCAAGCAAAACTGAGAATCCTAAAAGAACCCAAGGTAAAAATGGGGCCTGAAAATTTATTAGTCCAAAGAAATTCATTCGAATGTAGGGGTTTCGACGACTCCAAATATATACCAATATAATTGTAAAGGCTTGTCCCAAGAAAAGAAGGTTAACAAAGAGAGCAATTATCTGACCTAAGAGTTAAGGCTTAAACAAACTTCAAATAAATCTATGTATCTTTGCATTTATTTTCCAATTTAATTAACCAAAATTATAATTACTGAAACCCATTTTTGCGATAGCATATTTGAAAATTTTAGAAGTACTGATTTAAAACTTTTTATGAACTGAAAAATTCTTTAAAAAAAAGAGGATACAATTAAGACTGTTCCTCCAAATATGAACATGAAAAGAAAATCAGCTGTTCTCCCTCGGAATGAGCCCTCTTCCAACATGCGGCAGTAACGGTAGGTAAAAATCATATTGAAGAGAAAATTGAATCCTAATGATCCAAAAAATAGAAATGTAGTCATTAACCTCCATACCTGAAAAGAAAAAATTAACAGAGAGTATGAAATCATAAGAAAATCACACACAACTATAAAATTTACATCCAATCATTCCATCTATTAAATGTTATTCTATATTTTTAACTTTTATAACTTTCGCATAAATGCATCACTTTTATGCAAAACAACACTAAACATATTGAATTTTTTGTTTACACCAGTACTAATAATTTTTCAGGAATTAAATTTTTAACAACTATATACTTTAAAGAAACTCTTTAAACCAAGTCAGTTTTATTACAAAAAAAGGAGAGTACTGTCCAGACAATAATTATAAAGTAAGTACCAAAATATTAATTTTTTTCTCTCTCTCTCTGTATTTATTTTAGATTTAACATAGAAAGGAAAAAGTGCATAGTAGAACAGCATCTCTCTACCTTTGATGATTTTGTAATTTAAAAATATAAGGACAAAAACTACTAGTGTGGTTCATATGAGATATAACAACCTGGATGCAAGAAGCTTTTTTTGGAGGGGGGGGGGAAGTTGCCTGAAGTTACTTGGATAACAAAAATTAGTTATATTTGGCATAAGCTTGAAATTTTATCATACACAAAGAAGTTATCTAGAAATTATGTTAACATATTTATAAACATTTATTTCATGCATGCATGCTACAATGTACCTCAATTGGTCTAATGGAATTCAAGTAGCTATTTTGGCATAAGTTTAAAGTTCCAATTTCTGAATCACAAGTAAACAATTTTTTAATATAATTTCATACTATATGTGTGTGTCTGTGTATATGTAAATGGTTTCTTTAATACAGAAAGATACAATGCAAAACTAAAGCTTTTAATAAAATATGAAATAAAATTATTCACTCACCTGGTAATGTTTTATTATTAAATCAGGGTTAAAATACAGCTGGAAAGGTGACACTATGTCCAATTGCTAAATAAAAAATAAATAAAAGTTAATAAAATAATTTTTAATGCTTAAATGTATTTCACACACTAACTGTTACAACTAACTGAAAATCTGTATATCATTGTGTGACGTTTAAAATTACTTCAACAGGACATGTTAATGAAGACTCCCGATAATTAATTAATGTAACAGACATTTGTTGGCTGTCTCAAAAACTATACTATTAAATTCAACTTCTGTATTGCTGTTTAAGTGGAAACAATTGCACCTATATTATTACTATATTACATAAAATCACAACTCACAATAGCCTTTTATATAAAAAAAATTAAATATATGTATAAAGCACCAAAATATAAAATGAAGAGAAAATTTGTTTTAAGATTGTACATAAATTCATAAGCAATAGTAAGAAAATGGTAACTTTAGTGTTTCAATTTACACAGGAACAAATTCATATATGTATTTGTGTATTACTGTAGTGTTTCTAACACAAAAACAAGAACCTTTTTCCACACTTAACCTACCTCAACAAGTAAAAATTAAAGTTCATGCTAAGTTATGATGCAACTCTTTAGTGACTCATAGCTACAAAAACTTCAGTGTTGCCTGTTGATTTTTATTAGGTCTAGAAAAAAAGGCTTTGATTCCTATTACTTACTGAAAAAAATAGGGTGATGCAGATACATATTTTATGCTATAAATGCAATTGTAATACATCAGATTGTACTAGATGCTAAGCACTATCAGAAAAAGTATCATGTAGACATATGGTCACTACAGAACACTAACAGAAAGTTGTGTAAATAAGTCAAGGTTATGCATTTTGTATCAAATGTAACTCATGTAAGAGATTCATTATGGCTGCATCTCCCAGTTACTATAGAGCACAGACACAAAGTCATATACAGAGTACATTTTGACACTGTCTTGAGATTACAACACATGGTTACTATTGACCAAAAAAAAAGTTATACATACTTTTATGATATGGAATGTGTTCTGAACATATTAAACAGAGTACATACCTGACAAAATTATTTTGACATGTTTGATGGCACAGTTTGTTAGGTTAGCCCATGAATCATTTTTCAAATTTAACAGAACACTGTTAAAACTTTATTCGAACAAACATGATAAAACAAAAATAGTCAGTTGCCATAAACAAAATAAAATACAGATTTGAATACTGTTACAGTATGAGGTATTTAATAACCTAGGTATATTGAGAATTTCAAAAGTATTAAAAGTTAATGTTCAAAACTAGTACACACTACATCCATATGGACTTCAGAACCTCTTGGAGAATAACCTACTGTTTATTACGAACATATGGCCGATAAACAATAGGTTCTTTTCCTGCACTTGTTTGACTGTTCCAGTAAACCGTGACACTGTCTTTTGTAGGGAAATGTGTGAGCATTTGTTAAAGATAACAGCCAATATTCTAGCCCCCATGATAAAATGTTTGACATTGCCTGAATGGAAACTCAGCTATAATTGGCTGAAAGCACTGACACACCATACCAACTAACAAATCAGAGATGTGGTTTCTTATGACTTTCACCTTGGACAATATGGTAGCAGATTGATGCAATAATTTAATGAAAATATTTCATTAGGGTTGGTCAGGTTAGTTTTTTTTTAGGAGGGGAAGCAATGAAAAAAATTTAAGGTTGGACATTTTTATGTAGGGTTGGTCAGGTAACTAGAAGCAAATTTCTTTTTTTCAGACCTTATTGACAATATTGAACAAATGTTTGAAGTTATGGGAATGCAATAGGTAAAGCATGAAAAAAGTATTTTGTGCAATTTAAAATTCAAGTAAATAAAGATAATTCATCTTTTTTTACATTAAAGATGCAAATAAAAATGTTTTATTGTTATACAATATCATATTTATAGCCTTACAAGAGAAACTCATGTTAACTTGATGAGAAAAAGAATCTCAGCATAACTATTACAAAATCTCTAATACTTTTTGGACAATGTATGTTAACTAGTAAGTAGACAAAAATGATTTACAATTGTATATATATAAACATATTGAAAACAAGTCAAAGAATGCATTCAATACATTCCATAAGATGTTTGTTCAACCTAATCTAAAATACTGCATTGTGTTTTGATCACCTCATTTAAGAAAGGATGTTGAATTGTTGGAAAGAGTTCATAGACAAGCTATCATAATGATTCAAGTTTGGAGGGGCTATCATATGGGGGATAGCTTGAAATTTCATGAAATGTGTTTTGCAATAAAACGAGTTTGGGGTAATATGATTTAAGTTTGAAAAATTTTTGAGGTTTGGAACTCATAATTCCTTGGATAATTTTTAAAATTCAATACTACCCATGGACAGCATGGGTAAATCAGAATGGGATTGCTGCCCATCCCTAGATTGAATAAATTGGTGTGGTCTGCTTTTAAAAATAATATTTCATGATCACCCATTGCACTGTTTCTCTATTGCATTCCCCCCTTTCTTCCAGTGAAGTATGGGAGTTCTTATCACTTACCAGTTCCAAGCCGCTGGGGTGGTTGACCATGGAGGCAACCTGCTGGATAGGTTCCACAAAGATGGCTATAACCATTCAGTTCAGAGTAGGATGGTGGTGCTCTGCCAGTGTAGAGGGAGTTACAAGCTCCTCTGGATGAGTAACTAATTTCCTGTGTTGAGATGCCCAAATGCAGTTCACCCTTCCAATTGGGTGCCCTCCTCCTACACTCTTGTGGATGCCGGTACCTAGCAAGTGAGGTTTTGGAGATCAAGTGAACGAATCACATAGGTCCTCACACAGGTTTCGGGTTGTCCATCTTTCCCTCTCGACTTGTCTTCTGTGTTGTGGGTCACAGAAGGTCTATGTGGCCTGTTTCTGCTTCTGTCCTGGGTTTTTCCTTGTCGGGTGATGAGATTGTTACTGACCTGGGATTGTTTCGGGCTGGTTTCATGGTCACAGTGATTGAATGCATGCAATGGACTTCTCTCGGATTTCTGAATGACACATTCCCAGATCCCTGGCATTAGGCTACCCTGCGAGTTCCTGAAGACAAATGTTAGGTTCCCTCTTGACTCTGGAACTTGAGGTAAAGAAGATATAATCCTCAGCCTTCCATTGTGAGAATGTCGGTACCCAGCATGAGGTTTTGGATGTTGACTTACCGAGTATGCTCCGTAGTGCCCTAGTCACTCTACACCATGGGACACATCCTCACTTCCCCATTTTCCATTGTGGGATTGAGCAATTCTTATTTCTGTTTAAGATCACATTGCTAAACTATCCTCTCCCAACTTTGAAAGCTTCTTTTACCAGACTATCTAGAATTTCCCTCACCACAGAAGTAAGACTTAACTAGTCTTCTATAGTTTCCAGGGCAACTCTTATCACCTCCATTTAAAAATAGGAGTAATATAAGCAACATTTAAATCCTCAGGCACCTGCCCAGTGCCCATTATCTACTGAAAAATGTAGGCTCACATATCTGATCTTTGACCCCCTTTAAAGCTCTTGGGAAAATCTTGTCTGACCCTGATGCTTCATCTATTTTTAATTGCCAATATTTCTCATTGAATGCTCAGTGTCAGGTATAATATAAATATCTTCTCTTGTAAAAAGAGAAGAGAAGAAAATGTTTTAAAGCTCAACCATAATAAAATTATAAATAATAATAAAATTGCCATCAGCATCCCTTAAGGGCCCAATCCCTATTCTCAAATGTTGCTTGTCTTTAACACACTGAAAAAAAAATCCTTGCTGTAGTTTTAACATTATCATCCAGCTGTTTCTCACTTTTTGAATTCCTGATTTCTTTTTTCAGTCAAAACCTAGCCTTTCTATAGTTATGTAGATCTTACAACCTATCTGTCAATTCAAACTTACAAAATCTATGTTAATTATACCTGATATTTTCCTTTATGTTTTTCGAATAAGCATCCAAAAGCATAGGAGAAAATTTGAGATTTTGAAAATTCTGGAAGAATTTTTGGCTATGGAAAATAAGAAAAAGGAAAAAAGGCAAAACCTGCAAAGAAAAAAAGATGAAAGAAAAACAAAGAAAGGAAAAATGAACTGTAGATCAACTATTAGGCTTTATCTTTGGAGCTATGCTGCTATGACACTTCTCAATTAGTCAGTCACAGTGAAAAATTATGGAATAAGAATTTTAGAAACCTTGATTGAATGTATGGGAAAACTCTGTGTTTTTTGTCTAAGAATATTTACCTATGTTCTGTCTTTTAAACCAATTAGATTTGATTTTCCTTCTCCTCTGTTGAAAAACATGCCTATCTTTAATTAAAAACAACTTATTTTGAAAAACTTCTCAAATGTGTTCTACATTATCTTGTAACTCCTTATGCCAATTCACTAATGACAAATCTTGTCTCATGGCCTTAAAGTTGCTTTCTGAAAATTAGGAAATAAAATTAAATCTCTTTTTTATTTCACCATGTAGCAAAACATCAAATCTAATAATGCAATGGTCACTCTTCCCCAAATATTCCCCCTACTATAGGGTCACCAGATGTTCCAGTTTTTGGAATGCTGTACTGGTGTCCTGATAGACCTTTTCAGGATACCCAAAGGTCCTAGTTTTCATTTTTTCTCAGTAATCTGTAACTTCTTTATATTTCTATTCAGTTCTATGAGCTTCTGACAACCGTAGATCAAACTTTTTCAACTGAATAGAGAAATTATGAAACAGCTTGTATGACACATCATAGCCTTTACTGTTTCCTATAGAGATGGATATATGGTAGGCTACAGTAGATGACATTATGTCACTATTAGTATACATCACTGAGCACGTGATTTAGCACTCACCAAAACAAAGAGACAGCTGAATGCAAATGGCAGGTGCTTTCTATTTTCAATCATGAAGCACTTATTTAAAGTAACTGAAGTATAAACATGAATAACAGTTCATCCAAATTTTATGATAAACTCCAACCAAATAAGAAGTTGTTTGAAAAAATCCACTTTTTAGAGAGGTATATATATAGCCAGGGCCACCAAGAGCTTTCATGGGTTCTGGGGATGGATTGGTATGTGGGTCCCCAATTGTTTATAAATTTCTCTAAAAGAGGGGAGGGTCATAGTTATAAGTTCTGAAAATCTGAGTGTGTCCCAGTTTTATGATTTCAAAATATGGTCATCCTACCCTACTTGATCTCTTGCAACCTTATTATAATCCTCATTAGCAGCTGCAAACATGGTGTCCTCATCCCCATGGATTGTTTTCTAGCCATTTAGAATAGAAAATTATTCAGAATCACTTCAACAAATTTCTCTCACTCACTAGTTGATTTCATGCAATCTCAGTCAATGTGTTTAACATGAAAGACTCCCATAATTACTGCACTAATATTCTTAGTAGTAAAAGCCCTTATTTCATAATAAAATTAATGTTGACCTTATCTGTCTGATCAGGTGGCCTATAACTAAAGCTTGGTTAACTCAATTGAAATTACAACTAAATTGATTAATATTATGAAAAATAATCAACTAATTGAAACTAGTGTTTCCAACTGTTACTGTTTTCGAATATTCCAACTATCCAAGTAATCAAGGTTGTTCAGCTTTATCAATTAATACCATAACTCACGAAAATATCCACGTCTTAGGTGAGAATAATCAATTACTTGATTGAAGTCAATTAATGAACCCAAAAATTAACCAATTAACAAAATCCACTAATTGCTCAGTTCTTTACACAACATTTGCCAGATAAAAACTTTCTACCTTTGAAGCCACTGATTGTAAACCATATGGATTCAACTATTTGACTACCATATTTTAACATGCTGTAGTTCATCCCTTATACGAACAGCCACACAATCCCCTATTAAATAACTTGTAACCTGGAATTCCAAAATAATTTCTATTATCAGTATTCTTCAATAATCCCCATTATATCATAGGATTCCATTTCAACTAGAGCCCTAAAACCATGTATTTTGTTTCTACTACTATGTTTCTATTCTCAAATTTATTTTGGTTATCTTTAAACTTGGACTCATTTTTAAAACAGTTATTATGATTTAAGTTTTGTATTTCCAAACTCCTTGTTACCCTACCTTTTTATACTATTCCCAACTTTCCAAGCTCCATCACTATTATGCAGGTTTAGCTTAAACTATCTTTATTGAATTTTACATTAAGAATTTTTCCAAACATCCAACTACCTAAGCTGTTTATGTGGAGCTCATCTATTGCATATAATTCTCCCTTACCCTGTAAAGTATCCCACAGGTCCAACCAGTTCATCTGTTGCTCTAAACGTATCTCTGATAGTGATATTTTCATTTAAGCCTTGGGTTCAGCTAAGTAATTCAATTCAGCATTTAGCTCAATGGAGAGCTCCCAAAAAGGTCATACTTGAGTTAAAGTAGTGTTACTTTTCTAAGAGTGACCAGCTTAAGGAATAGTTTGTCTTCAGGTATGGTAGAAGCTGTTACACTGAAAGAGTATTAAGAGGAAATGGATGAGTATTTTATTTTAGAGATCACAGTTGGATATAAGAAAAGGGGTTTCTATATGCACTTTGAAAGAAGATGGTAGTAGAAAATGAAATAACCTAAATGGGCCAAACAGCTCCTTGTTATCCCTTAGAAATGTTTAAAAAATTGAGTTGTGTTATGATTTTCTTTACAACACATACAAATACTAACAGCTGTATTTCAAAAGCTTACAATATGCAAGCACCAGAATATTATTTTATAAATATTAATTACCTTCAAAATAATACACCATTCTACTAGTTTTATTTCTTAAAATGTACCTTTATATTACAAAAGAAGCAAGAGGATGATAGAAAGTTAGCCAAACAGAAATAAATAGAACACAAAATCCTAGTTTAGTAATAAAACCTAGATGTCTTCCTTTAACATTTTGAGATATTTCTTTCCTTCTGTATCCATCAGACTGCTTGAAATTAAATATATTTTCACATGTTTTAATCAGTGATTCATACCCTCCCTCTTGTGATGTAATGGCATTTCTGTATTTAATATTTGAAAGAAATAAGCAATTTTAACCATATTTTGTCTTTTTACATACGTTTTATCACACTGCAGATCTATTACTTCCTTATTCACATAATAATATAAAACATATTAAAAAATCTGTCTTTTCAGATTTTGTATTAGATTCAATATTATTATTATACAAGTAAGAGAGAGAGATGCATTTACAACATGACATACCTGAAAAGACAAAGATGTAGTTAAAACAACTGTACTTTCAAATAATAATATGTGAAATTAATATGCTACCACATCATATAAGAGCAAGCATAAACCAATAATTTGTAAAAAAGTATCACCAATTTAATTTCATGTAGACTTTCAGACCCAGTAATAACTGAAAATGCCAAGGTGATCAAGTTAAAACTCCTGTCCAGGATCTAATTGTTAGACTAACAAAACCTCATACAGTAAATCACTGCACAACTTAAATTACCCTAAAATGGGAGATAAAATTCTATTTCAGAATAAACTATGTTTGCAGTAATTAACCTATTTGAAGTGTCAGTCATAACTGCCCACTTCAAATTTTCAGAAATCAACTAATGAACTAGGCTGCTTAAATTACACCTAAACTAAATCAATTTTCTCTGAATCTTTTGCATACCAGAGAGAGTAGTGCATAAACTTGTATTTTTAACTTTAGAACTTCAATAGAAGAAAGAAACATGCAGTCTTTCCCATAATCTTTGTAATTGTGTATGTATAAAACACTTCAGCAAAACAAAGTTTAATTCTGGATAAAAAAAGATGCCTTGAGTCCCCTCCTCCCCTCGTGACTTTTGTTTTCCTATGGGGGAGGGGGCCTTTGAACAATATTTTATGTAAAACTATTTTATTATGATTGTGCAAAATTTCTAATTGTATTGATAAATTGCTATTATTTTGCACTACACTACAGCAAAAAAAAGTAAACCATACTTCAAACACTCACTAGGCCTAGAAGCTAAAATACTGGAAAAACAGTTAATTGGTTAGTTAATGCAGTAACACAATTACTGAATTAGCAAATCATTTAACACAATACGTGAACCTACCACTGCTAATGTAGTTAAAACGCATGCCGTCGTATAGGCACGAGTTACAGGAGGTATCTGCATATATTCATGTTGGATGTTGTAGAGTGCCATATTATTAAACAGGATCCAACTACTGCCCTTTATCTATAAAAACTTTATCAATAAAATGAAGTTTAAAAACATCAAAGAGAACGACTCAATTTGAATTGAGAACTAGGCCCTAGAATATGTTCTTCATCAAAATATAACGTTAAAATTCAATATTTCCCCAAAAGTTATAATGACAATGCATTTCGCAAAACAGCACGATAAAATTTATTCAAGGCCGTTTAAAAACAATTTTTTCTTGAAAATAGGATTTAATCTTTAATTTAAGAAAACTGAAAAGTACAACAACATAAAACTGTAGATTCTATTTGATGTGAATAGCCACTAGAAGGCGCAGGTTACACTTGGCTACAGACTGTCTGGTTTTATCGCACGTGTACAACAGTTATTACGTACAGTTATTTTTTAAATCTATCTTGCAATCACCTAGAGCATTTATTTATCGTTAAGAGTTCTTATTCGTATTCCGACGACGTCAACCCACGTGCATGGCACAAAACAAGTCACTGCGTTTTGATTTGATTTTCCGCTTCTTTTAATGACGTCACAGACACTAAACTACCTTCTTTTATTAATTACTCAGTATTTTTTTTAATAATTGGAATACAATTTATAGATGCCAGACTGTAAAATAACTGCCGCAAAGTATATTTTCTGTTGTAGTAAAAACTATACTTGATATCATAAAATACATTACAAAAGAAAAACAAGT